TCCTCTGGCACTCCTTTAACTCCCAACAGACACAATAAAAAGTGAGTCTCCCTGAAGGAACCTGCCACTTCTGCTGCGACCTCACTATATTCTGGCAGGAAAACTAAGAGAAAACAGACGCATTCCTAATGAGGTGAGAGGGCCAGTCTCTGTCCTGAAGGTTAAAGTGACCATTAGATCACACTCAGCTAACCTCTCTTTTACAGATAAGAGAAATGAGTGCTTATGACAGGGGTGGGGCCTCCAAGGTAAACTTGATCATATTGCCCAAAGGATTACAGTTCTGTTTTCCAAAAGGTAGCTTCTCAACTTCTTTGAAGACAGTCCAGCAATGCCAGTGTTTCCCTGGTATGCAGTTCACCAAGAGACCAGTCTTTGGCTCAGAGAGTTGCAGGGTTCACTGCAGGACCAAGGCTTTAGTCCCAGAGGTCCAAAAGTGCGACATGGCACCCAGGTTCGGCCTCCAGCAGTACCACTGTAGGAAGCAGCATTGCCCTTTGGCTCTGGAGATCCCAGCGTTCCCAAGGAGAAAGGTTTGCACCCCAAACTTCCCACAGTCCCGGGACTTTGACCAGCTGTCCTGGCGATAATTCCAGATCACTGTTTCCACCACAGGGATTGTAGAGTTCACCTGGCATCAGACCTTTGGATCCTGGGATCTCAGAATACACTATGAAACCCCAGCTTTCACTCGAGGGGCCCACAGTTCTGAAACCCAAAGGTTTCAGAGTTCACAGTAGAACCTTCAATCCCTGGGCAGGGCAGGGAATTGGGTCCCATGGCTCTAGGTGGCTGACTCTGACCTCAGTGGTTACAGAGTTGATTCTGAAAATGGTGTTTTGAACTTGTAAGGGGCAGAATTCCTACTGCACCAGGCTCCAGCAGTCACAGAGTGATCAAGGGACAACATTTTCACTACAGTGGTCCCAGAGTTCACTCCTCAACCAGGGTTTTGACTCCAGAGTTCCTGGGCAACGAGAGCTTTTCCTCCAATGCTCCCAGGTATAGAAAATTAGGCTATGTACTTAGTGTAAGTTACGCCATATTTTATTTTAAAAAAAAAAATGGCTTTCCAGGTTGTGCATTGCCGTAGGAGCCCCCATCTTCTAAACAGATTCTGACTCCATTTTGAGGGAGAACTTCTGGATTGCCTGTTTGTAGACTGTGTGAAAATGTAATGCTGTAATTGGTAGAATAAAGAGCTGAATGGTTAGTAGATAGGAAGGGGAGGATTGATGGATTTAAAGCAGGAGAGAGGGAGGGAGAGAGAGAGTCAGAGGGGTGCTTGGGGAGATGCCAACAGGACACAGAGCAAGTCGAGCACATGAGACAGAAGAAAGGTAGCTGAGTCATGTGATGGATCGGAGAGTAATAGAAACAGACTAATTAAGTTATAAGAGCTAGTTTTTTTTTTTTTTAATCCTAAGCTAAGGCCCAGGTTTCATGATTAATAGTAAGTCTCCGTGTCATTTTCTGGGGGCTAGTGATCCAAAGGTAGCCTGACAAGAAAGCTTGCTACACTGGATGGGCCCAGAAGCTCTACTATCTATCACATACCACCCAGCATCACGGGGTTATAAATATAAATGACTTATTCCTAGAAGTAGGAACAGAGCCACCCTATAAATTTTCTGGGGGTGAATTGAAACTATTGGAGCACCTGGGTGTATTAAAATCATATCAGTGAAACCAGGCCCAAGTGCTTATCAGACAAGCCAGACAAAGGATAGGGTGTAACTTCAGCACCTGGATCCCTTAAAGTGATAGGCACCCAATTCTGTGATGCCATGGTCTTAAGCCAGCCTATCACCTGATACCTAATATGTGAGCAAAGGGTCAAGAGCATCAGGCCCCTCACTTCTTGCTATTCTTGGAGCTTGGGTTCAGCTTAGTCTCATTGTTGACCTGGCCTACATGACTGCCTGCCCGTCTATCTGTTGGACATCTGGACCTGGAGCTAAACCCATTGTTTCCTGCTCTTGAATCCCTCCTTTGTCTTTCACCTTGCTGCTGATTGATCTATTATCAATACTGACACATTTTCAGCTCATTTCTGAAATCTCCTGGATTCCACTGCAGCCTCTTTAACTTGCATTCACATAGTAAACAGCATGTATGAACATAGATATCATTACTGTGTGTTGTGTGATATGGGAGTCAATATTAACAATATAATTGGAATTAAAGAACCCATACTTACCACAACTAGATTGCCAAGGCAGGTGGCATTACACCACTAATTGCTGTTATTAAAACTGTTGGACCTTGTGGATTTATTATTATTTTCAATGTTTTGAAACTGTGCAAATGCACAAACATATTCATTGGAAACTGTTCACCACAGGAGCAAATTTTTGGCACTAATGTTTCCAAAGTTTGATGCAGGGTGGAGGACTTGGCTCCAGCACTACCAGAGTTTGTTATGGAACAGGATTTGGTGTCACCAGCTCCATAATCTCACCAGTGATCAAGTCTTTGATCTCGAGGGCCCTTACTTCACCCTAGTGTTATGGTTTTGATCCCAGCCGTCCCAGAGTTCAATAAATTGAGACCTAGCCTTTGACTCTGGGAGTCCCACAGTGTCCTGAAGAACTGGATCTTTGGTTCCGGGGTGACAGAGTTCACCCCAGAACTGGTGAGGTCCCAGAGTTTGCCACAGATAAGCTACAATCAGCTAGACATAGATCAAACTGAAAGTCTAAATTGCTAAAAGCAATGGCAGAAAAAAAAGATAGGATATATTTTACCTAACAAGTTTAGGAGAGAGCTCAAGACAGAAGTCCAATGACACAGGAACTAGACCCCCTCCAAGAGTCAGCAAAGTAGAGTTACAAGACATTAAAAGATCTTCACAGCAAAGGAAACTATCAGCAGATCATACGGGCAACCGTAGGATAGGGAAAAACATTTACTGTCTATATTTCAGAGAGAGGGTTATACTATCCAAAACTGTAAGAGAGCTGCAAAATTTAAATACAAGAGCAGAGTACTTGCTGTTCTGGTGGAGGACCAAATCTCGTTCCCAAAACCCATGCTGAGCAGCTCACAACTGCCTATATTCTATCTCCAGGGGGGCCTAACACCTTTGACCTTCACAGACACCAGACCTTGAATGTACACACCCATTCAGAAATACACGGACACACACATGCACACATGTGTGCGCGCACACACACACACCATTAAATATAAAATAAATGTTTTTTTAAACTGCCAATTAAGAAATAGGCAAATGAAGTGAACAGACAGTTCTCAAAAGAGGAAACACAAGTGGTTAGTAAGTATTTTAAAGAACCAAGCATCCGTAGTCTCTGGTGAAATGCAAATGAAAACTGCTTTGAGATACCACCTCACCTTAGTCAAAACAGCTGCCATCACAAAATCTGACAGCAAAGTTGGGCTTCTATTTCTTTTAATTGTTGTGGCAGACATATTTGTATATACATATATATATTCCTAAATACATGAGTACAACCTGCTGTGCTGTGGAATGAATTTGAAAGAGAGTAAGGGAGATTATATGGGGAAGGTAGAGGAGGGAAGGGAATGGGGAGATGATGTAATTACATTATAATCTCAAGACATAAAAGAAGTCATTTAAAAATGTTTTCAAAATCTGATAAAACTGGTGGTGGGAATGTGGGGGACACATAAAAACTTGTTTACCGCTGGTAGGACTGCAAGCCAGTACAACCATTTGGGAAATCAGTATGGAAGTTTCTCAAAAATTAAAAGTAGAACTGGGCAGTGGTGGTGCACACTTTTAATCCCAACACTTAGGAGGCAGAGGCAGGTGAATCTCTGTGAGTTCAAGGCCAGTCTGGTTTACACTGCTAATTCCAGGACAATCAGAGTTACTAAGAGAAACCCTGTCTCGAAAAACCAAATGAAAAAAGAAAGAAAGAAGAAGGGCAGGAAGGAAGGAAGGAAGGAAGGAATGAAAAAAGGAAGGAAGGAAGGAAGGAATGAAAAAAGGAAGGAAGGAAGGAAGGAAGGAAAGAAGGAAGGAAGAAAGGAAGGAAGGAAGGAAGGAAGGGAGGGAGGGAGGGAGGGAGGGAGGGAGGGAGGGAGGGAGGGAGGAAGGGAGGAAGGAAGGAAGGAAGGAAAACTGATAGATATGGGTCACCTGTATGACAATGTATTCCCATCATGCCTCCCCAATTAGATCTAAAGCACATCAAGATGAGGGAAGGAAACTAAATGGCCTGCTGTGAACAGTGTGATGTATTAAGTACTTTCTCTAGGTTGTCCCAACCAACCACGTAATATTTAAAGTCAACATTTGCAGGCAGGACACAACAACAATTCAAAAATGTTGGAACTTACCAAGAGAAAAATTACTCTCTCCTGTCGATGTTACTATTGCTAGTTGGGTTTCTTAGCTGTCGAGACTGGCCCGTTGGAGCATTCATGAGAATTTACTGCCATTTTTATGTATTAATAATTCAGAGAAATTGTATTTTGTGATAGCACAGTGACTTTGCTGTACTGTGTAACATCAAGGCTTTCTCCAAGATGAAACTCATTTAAACTTTGTAAATATCATTTCTTTCATCCATATACAGAGGCAGCATCAATCTTTAGGATTAACTCTGGTAAGGCATACAAAATGGCTGGCCTGGGTGAACTATAGTTCCAGGACAGGGCTGCACATTCCACTGGACCATGTCCAAGGCCAATCAATTGATCAGAACTTCTGTTTTGATGTAGACAGGATGAAACCTTGTGAGTCCAGAACCAAATTATTTGGGCCATCTTTACCTACCCTAATGGTCAGCTATTGCCCTCCTCTATGAGTAAGCTAACAACTTTGTGACCATTAGGTAATCTTCCGGAATGTACAAAAAGAAACCTGGTTCCAACCATACGAACAAGAAATTCATCGGCTGATAACTGAGTTCTATAGCTGAGCCACACCATTCTGTATTCTGCCTACCGAATGTTAATACCAATGCATTTGAAAACGGTTTTAATTATAGTTTTCTTTTGTTGTTGTTGTTAGAATATTTTGTGGAACTGTAACAACATTCAAACATGGAATTTGGGGTAGCCCAGAAGTACAGATTCACATCCCCTTGAGGTAAGTGGTGTGTCTTTTCTTTGATCTTTATGGTACCCACCACAGACTACCAAGAATGATCTACATTTTATCAAAAAAGTCACATGAACTGGAGGCAGGTACCATCAACCATAAGGCCCTTGTGCTCATGTGGTCTGCTTTATTTCCCAGGGTGAATTTTTTTGAGTGCTTGGGGCACTCAGATCTCCATTACTTTGTTCAGGAGCCCATGTGCTGTTTATGCTGAGCTATTTGTTTAGAACTGCTTTTCGTAAATATCTTCTGGGTTTGGGGTTTGCTTTGAAAGCATCTTGCTTTCTGCCCATTCTGTTCTGGATTTTCTGCTACTGTCATCTCTTCGCTTTCGGCGGCCCTCTGGAGACATTTTAGTCTCTGACCAGTTGGTTTGCTAATTTGCTAGCAGGTTTTTTTTTTTCCCTCTAAGTTCCTCCCAAATCTTATCTAAAAGAATTAGAAAATGTTTGGAGAAAAGCAAACAAATATTTGTTATTCCAGCTGACTTTATGTTTGATAAAAATGTTCATTTAACTTACAAGTGTTAAAGCAAAAGGGAATAGCTGGAGAAACAGTTAGGGGCACTTGTCATTTTTCAGAGGGCCGAGGTTCATCTTCCTGCTTACACACAGTAGCTCACAACCATCCACAAACTCCAGTTCCAAGGGACTGGATATCATCTCTGACCTCCATGAACACCAGGCATGAAGCTAATGCCCAGATATATATGCAGGCAAAAAAAACTAGTACATAGAAAATTGTAAAACTTTATAATAAAATAATAAATTGAATAAAAAAGTTTTAAAATCTAAATAAAGATAACCTTACATTTCTATAAAGTATGATTAACTAACTGAAAGTCCTAGAAAAAAAGAAAATTTTAAACAATATTTGTATTAGTTCCTTGAGAATACCATGCAATTAATTTTGAACATATTTATCCTTCCTCTCCCAATTCCTTCCACAACCGTCTCTCACCCTTCCTTTTCCTCCCATTCAACTTTTAGTTTTAGTCTATGCTTTTTAACCTTCATTGAGTCCATTTGTTACTGAACAACTAATCTTGGGAGCAGAGACGTCCCTTTTGTGTGGTCAACCTCCTATAGGGTTGTCTACCATTAAAAGTTGTCTACCCTTTTCCAAGCAGCAATCAAATACCAAAAGCTCCTTTGTTAGTGGTGAGAATTTTATGCCCACCTTCCCCATACCCAGTGGCATTTTGTTTGGTTGAGCTGATGCAGGTCTTCTGCACGCTGTCACGGTTGCTATGAGTTTATATGTGAAACTGCCCTGTTGTGTCCATAAAGACTGCTTCCTTGATGTTGTCCACTAGTCTGGCTCTTGCAGTCTTTCTTCCCCCACTTCTGAGAATATACCTGAGTCTTGAGCTTAGGGATATGATGTATATCTGACTGTTTAAAAATTTCCTAAACAAGTAGTCTATTGCAATTAAAAATTAAAATCACCCAAAATGATAAGGTTGGTAATTTATAAACATCACTAATAGCTCTAAAGGCTAAATCTCAGTTGAAAGAGGTTAAAAATAAATAGAAAATTATTTAAGTTAGAGATTTTTTTAAAAAAATCAATAAAAATGATAGCTCATGATATTCTGTTATACTTATAGACTGGTGCCTAGCCTAACTGTCACTCAGAGAGGCTACCTCTAGCAGCTGATGGGAACAAATGCAGAGACCCTCAGCTAAACATTAGGCACACAGAGAGAGCCCAAACTGGAAATCTCCACTGGGTCTCTTCCCTTGGAGCTTCGAAAACTCCATGAAAGAAGAGTAGAAAGAACTTTAGGAGCAAAATGGTTGAGGACACCACAAGAACATGATCAACATATTCAACTAAGCAGGGCTCACAGAGACTGGAGCAACAATCATGGAATCTGCATGGGTCTGTGCTAGGTCTTCTGTAAATATGTTATAGTTGTTAGCTTAATGTTTTTGTGGGACTTCTAACAGTGGAAGTAAGGGTGTCACTTACTCTTTTGCCTGCTCTTGGGCCCCTTTTCCTGCTACTGCTCTGTCCCTTCCAGCCTTGACATGAGGGGGTGTACCTAGTCTTATTGTTACTTGTTATGCTGCGTTCTGTTGGTACTTCTGTGAGGCCTGCTCTTTTCTAAAGGGGAACAGAGAAGGAGTAGATCTAGAGGAGAAGAGACGTGTATGGGAGAAGAACTGGAAGAAGTGAATGGAGGGGAACCTGTGGTTAGATGTATGAGAAAATTTTTAAACTTAGATTGCATGAGAGAAATTTTTAAAAGTTAGAGGTTCTAGCAGACAAGTGGGAGAGCAACTCTATGGTCTGTCTCTGAACTTTTCGTCTCCCTTCTTTATTTCCTAACAGGACACAACTCTATATCAAAGAAAAATATTTTAATGCCCTGTTTTAAGAACAAAAGTGGATAAAAATTAGATAACATACTATATTAAAAATTCTGACTGAGGGGGGCTGGAGAGATGGCTCAGTGGTTAAGAGCATTGCCTGCTCTTCCAAAGGTCCTGAGTTCAATTCCCAGCAACCACATGGTGGCTCACAACCATCTGGAATGAGGTCTGGTGCCCTCTTCTGGCCTGCAGACATACTTACAGACAGAATATTGTATGCATAATAAATAAATATTAAAAAAAGATTTTAAAAAATTAAAAAAAAAATTCTGACTGAGAAAGACTACTAAAAGGGAAAGTTCCCCTTGAGAAACTGGTGGGTGCACAAGTATATCTGAATGTCTCTTTCAATTGTATACTTGCTCTTAACCTTCATGCTTAAGCCTATACTAAAATATCTTTATTATGTTAGCAACTTCCACAGTTCTTTGCTGTGTCAAAGCCATGAATTCAGATTTGGCCCAAGATGAGGTCCCTAAATGCTTAGAGGAAGCTCCTCAGGCTGCTGAGGATGAAAGCGTTCCACTATGGCTTTGCTCCTTTCGTTCTATGGTTAACATTTGCAGCCTTGTGCTACCATACCTTAACACATGCTTGGAAGTTTGTTTATCTGTCTCTTGAGGTATCCACCCTGCTAAGCATGGCAGGTGTTACTCTGGGTTCCTTTGCTTCTATTCTTGGGGGCTCCAAACACTTACTGTTTAATTAATGGTATTGATATTGAAGATAAAAATCCTCTAGACTCATTCATGCCCCATGCCTGAGTCAGATCAATCCAATACATGGCTTTTCTGGGAGCCATCATCACAAGTTCCAAGACATACTCTTGCCTATCAGAGAGCAGTCCAAGAAACTGGGAAAGCCATTCCCCGGAGCAACACATGCAAGCATGCTTACTTGATAGCAACCTAAATTTTTTTCATCCTTCTTTCTTTTTCTTCTTTTTTGCGTTTCCTTTTGTTGTTGTTGCTCTTGTTTTTTGTTTGTTTGCTTGCTTCTCTTTTTGTTTTTTGACCCAGGACTTCTCAGTGTAGCTCTGACTGTCATGGAACTGGCTGTGCAGATCAAACTAGCCTCAATTCAGGGATCCACCTACCTCTGCTTTCTTAATGCAGGGATTAAAGGCCTGGGCCAGCATTCCTGATGTAACCTAAAATCTTCAAAGCATTCTCAGCTTTTTTCCTGTCTGTCTGTCTGTCTGTCTGTCCATCTGTCTCTTCTGCTTTCTTGGAAGCCAGTAACTCGGCAAAAGAACTCTCCTGACTTTTCCTCTTCTGTGCTATACAGATGCAAAGTAGAGAGAATTCCAGCAACTTTCTCCTTTGCATGGTAGTAAGCCAACTAGCCTTTTTCCTTGTGAGACTAAACTGTCTTAATTCTGGAATATCATTAAGTGATGTTTGAGAAAGAGACCTCCTATACCTTTTAAGTTAAATCATTCAAACTCCATATGTTCTCATTTTTTGAATATAAATCACTGTTGTATGTATCTGTATCTTTCAACTTCATACTGGGAAATAGTAACTCTGATCCAGGGGCCTCTGTGAAGCCTAGAGAGAAAAATCAGCCCTAAACATCGTGACAACCAAAATTCCGGAAAAATGTCTGTGTGAAAAGCTTCCAATTTTCTCATAGAAGCTAGATACAGTAGTGTCTGCTTAGAATCCTGGCACTTGGAATGATCTGTTTCAGGCCAGCCTGGACTACACAGCAAAACATTCATTTAAAAAATTAAAAATGTGGTCTGGGGACATAGCTCAGTCTAAGACTCTTTGCCTAGTTAGTACCAAGTGATGGATTTGGCTTTCTGTATTGGCAAATAACAACAAACAAGCAAATAAATGTAAAATTAGAACAGTTTGATAATAATTCACTCATCATGAATACCACAGTCATTTCTCTCTCCTCTCTCATTAAAAGAATTCTTCTAGGAATGCCTGTGGTTTGTGTGTGTGTGTGTGTGTGTGTGTGTGTGTGGGTGGGTGGGTGGGTGGGTTTTTTTTTCCTGACCCTATTAGCTGGTGAGAATCCAAAGTTGCCCAACTGATTCTTCTGATCTCCAATGATGTGAACTGACCTGGAGTTGCAGGAAGGAAGCAGCAAGCAAAAAATGGTGCTTAGACACAGGGGTTGGGAATAAGACTCAGACAACTATGTTACACAACACAAGAACAGAACGGCTTTTGAGAAACAGCACTCTGCATATGGGCCATCTCTGTGGTAGTCCAGAAATGGAGGGAAGATGTTTTTAAGCATTTGAAATGACTTTCTGTTTTCTGAATTGTCTTTGTTGGGAGTTCTGAGACTGGACCATGTGGATCACAGACTCACCAACACTATCCAAGTGAGATTTATGACTAGACACATTGTAAAGCATAGTAAGGAAAGTCAGGGACACACACTTGTAGTATTACAGTGGGGACAATTCCTTTGGCTGGATGACTTCAAGTTTGTGCTCCCTTAAGCCACAATCAGTGATGAGTCCCTTCAATCAGTCCTACACAGATGTATCCAGAAAGAAGTACTCGCATTTTTCCTAGAAATTTAAAAAGTATTCAAATCTTCTATCACATAATTTACGTTGCTGCCTCTGTATGTTTGTATCTCTTG